AACATACCTGGAATTAACGATGGTCCTTGATATGAATCAAATTCACATAATATGACTGATGGAAAATTGTTGTCTTTATCATAAATGATATCAATCACTTTTCCAATAGATCCATTACATAATTTTTCATCTAACCACAAATTATTCCGAAGCATAATCTTGCTGCCTTTTGCAAGATAAAGTTTCCTCTCAAGTCCTTCTGCTGAATTACTACTTCCTCTTTTGGCTTCTGAACAATTGTGTTTTGCTGTTATCCTTGCAACTGGAACTGGTGACCCATTTGTTGTCTTTAGTCTTCTTAGTTTTTCAAGATTGTACTCATTGACCTGCTCTTTTGTTCCAAAAATTCTGATTGCATCTGCAAACAGCATGTTCTCTTGTTCACTTACATTGGTTCTGAACCTTGTTTTTAGTAATTCATATTGCAATGATGTAATATTTCCTTCACTTATATCGTCCAAGATATTGAGAAATCTTTCATCTTTTTGGCGATGACATGTTGTTAGAACAAATGTTTTTTGAAAGTTCATGATAACTGCTTTTCCTTCCATTCCCAAAACCGATTGCTGTGTTTTTGAGACAAATGAATTGTCTTTTACAGGTGGCAGTTGTTTTATATCTCCAAGAAGGATTACATTGATGCCCCCAAAATCTTCGTCATTGATACCTTTTGCTTCTTTGCATCTCTTGTTGATCATTGCAAGAGTTTTACAACCAATGAGAGAGTATTCATCCAGAATAAGGTATTTGACATTTTGCATTTTGTTTGTTAAATCTCTAGCAGCCTCTCCCTTTAGAGGTTTGTAATCTCTGCTTCTTCTTGGAAGCTTGAAGATGGAATGCAGTGTCTTTCCATTAATCAGAATAGCAGCTACTCCTGTTGGTGCTGCAAGGAAGTAAGAATCTTGTCCCAATTCTTCATCTAACAATGCAGTTAGATATTTAATAATGAAACTTTTTCCAGTTCCTGAAATGGAAGAATATCAAAGTTAGTAAAAGTTTATAAATGGATTAAGTCTTAATTGCTTGTTTGAAAGACAATTACCAGCTTTTCCCTGAATAATGATTCTTTTTGAGCATGCATAATTGCTCTTGTTGCAATTCATGTTTTTAATTATATTGATTTGTTCTTTTATAACATCTATGATCTGCTGTTGATCGTGGCTGAATTGCACATTAGGTAATCCTAAAGACTGATATCTTAAACTTGTTTCTTTTTTCATTTTATCAATGAAATTTTCAAAGTCTGCTATTGTTTCATACTGTTCATATTGCTTATAAACGTCCTGCCAGTTGTAATTGATATCATTTTCTCGATTACCAAGATCAATTGGTGGAACGTCACTTTTTGGTCCCAATCGAGATGCAAGAAGTTCATCATTCAGATTATTACAATCATCATCATCACTGTCACTGTCATCTGATTCATAATCACTTTCCTCTCGTTTCTCTGTTTCTGTTACTATCTTGTAACGTTCTTTCACTCTCTCTTCAATTTTATTTTTAATATAAACCTGTTCCCATGTTTCATTATCTTGTTTCACATCAGTTTCATTTCTCCATGCCATATGTAGCAGCACATTTTGTCGATAATATGCCTCATTGCAGTCATCTTCTCTTTTTGTCAGTCTTGGAAAGACTTGAACTATATTTTCCTTTTTCACTGTAGTCCATTTGTATGCATTATATTTCTTCATAGACGTCCACAGTGAGAGGTCTGCTAAACGATCAGGGCGATTCTGGTATTTCTGTAATATGTTTGTACATTGTTTATTCTCTTCATCATCATGAACTTGAATCCATTTTTTATCAGACATATTAATGGTTACAAAATTTCTTCCCCCTGCTGAAAATAATTTTTGACGCATTAATGTATGACACACTTCTTGAGCTGAAACATCTCTTTCAGCACATGATTTCATCAAAACCCTATGAATTGCTTTCTTTGATTTTAATTCATCATCTATGCCATTAACAATATTCCTAAAACATTCATTGAATGTTTCTGATTGGACCTCACATTTGGAAATATATTTTGCAAGATAAGCAAGTAAAGCACGTTTCGATATCACTGGTGCTATATCTATATTAGCTCTCCAGAGCTGAATAATCAGTTTATTAAACTTATTAAGTCTTGGATCATTTCTTCTTGGTTTAAATTCCATTTCATTGTTTTCAGATTTTTCTATTGCTGCTTCTTCTTGCATGTCTCTTGGAAACTTGAAACGGCACTCTCTCCTCTTTGTGTTTTTATTTACCTTGAAACAATAATCATTTGAACATTTTGTATGTCTTTGAACCTTGTGGAGCAATTGTGCAAGATCTTCCTCGAAGTCTTCCACCTGGTTGTACGTTTTTCTGCATGGGTGGCTATTTGGATCATTAGCATTCACATTAGGATTCCATGCTTCCACTAAATTAGCGAAATAGTCTATTACATTATCAATATATTCTTCAGATTCATTTTCTAAATTTGAGACATCAGGTGCATCTTTAATCCAGAATATTCCGTGCAAATGAGGACTTCCACTGCAAACAAATCATAGAAATATTTATAGTAATGGACATGTGATAAAAAAGCAAACAGAAAAATTTGTACCATGATTTTCTTACCGATGTTGATACTCTATTCTATACCAATAATCAATAACTTTAAAGTGAGTTTTCATCACCTTGAAAAAGAAATGAAGTTTTATCATTTTTTTGTAATCTTAATGTTAGAGACAACCACTTTTATGAACTTACATTTTTGATGAATGATTCAACACGATGTGCAAAAAAGGAATCTACAATGTGGGGGTTTTCTTGTACTAATTTTCTTCTTTCTGCTTCTGTTAACAGTGATATATCCTTATTGGACAAAAGGCGAAATAAATCATTCCAGTGTCCATCAGCTGCACTCAGAGTCAAAAATATTGTTGGTAAGCCCAGTTGTTCCACCATATCTTTTAATTCTTTTGCCCTTAAATGCCAGTATGATTTTGATCCCTTTAGATTTGAACCTTGAAACATGATTTGTTTTATCACATTTTCATTCTCTGCCATTTTTTCTTTCAATTGAGCCACTGACATATTTTGAAATTCTGGATTGTTTCTCACAAATATGTTACCATCTTGCAATGCTACATTTCTCATCCAGACATTATACGCAAAAAAACGAAATGTTAAGTGTGATGCAAATCGATTATCATGATAGCTTATTAAATGTTTGATATAGTTTGACATTTTCACCTCTTTCATTCTATCATCATAGAGATCACCAGTTCCATGTGGAAACAAAGTAGGATATGCACATGCATAAAATCCTGGTTGTTGTTCTTTCACAGGTTCACTTGACATGTGAGGCCATTTTAACTTAGACTTTACAGCCTTGTTCTGATCCACAGGAGTCATGTTCACTACTCCTGATTCATTTACAGTTTCATTTTCTTCATCATCATCCTCATCACTATCAACATTTTCAGCGTCACTATCATCATTTGTTGACAAATTATTCATCAAATTCATAACGTTTCCATTCTCTGGTAACATTTTTAAATTTTCTTCACTTATAATAATATTCTTGTAGTAAGGGTTATTCTTTTGAAGCCACTCTAATGCTCTTCTCACACGTCCACTTCTCACATTAAATTCATGATATTTTCCAGATTTAGTTTTGTACTCCATACATAGTACAGAATTTAAATCTTTTATCTTATGTGGAAGTTGTGTTGCTAATTCTTGAACATCCTGTGGAAATGATATTACATTCCCTTTATATGAATGCTGATGACCTTTCACCTTAAATACTGTAATTTGAGGATGAATTCGAGCAATTATCTGTTCTTCTATAAATGTTAAGTTTTGTAGTTCTTCTGGAACATCTCCAGGATCCATGTTATTGATTACTGAATATTCCCAGCATTTTGATCCATGGTGACACTTAACATTTTTCTGCGTGTTTGATATAAGAGTCTTCTCCTTGCATTGCATACAAATATTCCATCTTAATGTGGCCATATCTTCATCAAAGGCAAATGCGCATGACTGCTCAGAGTAGAACAGATCTTTGTCAAATGATGACTCTGTAAGATGAATATAAATTAATTTGTTTCAAACACGAAGACAATTTAATCTTACCATACATTTCTATAATTAATTACCTTTCCATTTTGTCAAATTTGCAAAATATTGCTTTATTAAATCCTCTGTCATAATAGGATGTTTTTATAGTGAGAGATAAGGCATTGGAGTTTTAACGATTCTAGTCTGTCGAGACGGAAGGGTAGTATCAAATGAGGTGCCATGTAAAGAATGGTTTGCGGACGTTGCGACGGCTCTTAAATTACCCATGCAGAAGAACTTAAGGAAGAACAATAAGAGAGTGGGTGCATGGAATGGTATTGATCAACCAGGGAATAAGGCGAAAAAAAACAAAACCGGTTGGAGGTCCTGGCCTGTATCACTGTCATCCATAAAACAAGGGAATGACTGCAAGTAAGCCGTGCGTAGGTTAGGTTCTCCATTGTTTCATATCATTTTTCACCATCCATTGAACAAAGATACGAAGTTTCTTCAACTTTATAGTACCCTTGTGATCCCTTTAAACTATTGAGCACTGACTTAAATTTTGATGCACTGGTTTTGAAACTTTTAAAAATGTCTTAATTACAATTCACTTAATTTACCAAATTTACAATTATTAAATTACCAAATTTTATATTTTCTTGAACTTCCTTTTATATGGCATCTCTCATTGTCTTGAAGTGATGCTACAAAGGCTCGCTCCCCCATTACACCTTCGGTGCCAGGCTTAGGTGTCCAGTCCTAACCTCGGTCGGTTGTTTCAAAATAATTAAACAATACTTGGGCCTTCATCTTTAGACCCCAGGTGGAACAATCTGCACAAAACGGACTTATTACCTCTCAAAGTTAGCAACACCGCGTGAAGTAGGGGTGTTCCGCCTGTTGGCCAACCAAAGTTTGCGTTATTCTGGTGAAGCTCCAACTGAAACAAACAGAAAAACACTCTACACAGTTTTGCGCTTTGAGGTGTCCAACCCCTACTCTGTTTGGTTGGTTTGCCTGATGCCATCCTGACTATCTAGCTAATCCTATTCTAAAGGCACCTTGAAATCTAAGAAAGCTTAACTAACTGTTTGTTAGTGCAAATACTTAACTCATGCAGTGCGGCCAGGAGCTGTCGTGGGCCTCGTTCCCGTCGGTAGGCGTCAAGCCTCTCGTACCGGAAGTCCCAGCTGAGTAGGCGGCAAAGGCTCCGCGACGTTGGTTCTAGACGTTCTGGTAGTTGAGAGGCATCCTCCTTCGTAACACAGTCGTGTGTTCGAAGATTCTGCTCGTGAGTAGTTAGTTTCCGGTCGGCCGCTTCTGTTCCGCATTTGTCGTTCTTGCGCGTCGATGCGTGTGCATACTCCTCGCGTCGGGTAACAGTGCAGTGGCGATACCCCTTGCGCTGAGAGGCAGGCCGGCGGCGTTTCGACTGAACCAAGACCAAGACATCTCGTCGGCGGAAGTGGGTGAGTACTCTGGGCCCTTTACGTTATCCCAGGCTGGGTTCGGTTTCTGCTGTTGTCTAGTTTCTTTCGTTCTTGTTCTTTCTTGGGATCGGAGATTTTCCATTTAACGTGGGCCCCGCGTTTGAAGTGTGACGTGGCGTAAAGTTTGCTTTGTTTCGTAACATTTCGATAAACACTTGCTGCAGAAGCTGTCGAGGTATTTTCTTCACGGTTTTCGCGATCATGCTTTGCATGTAGTATTGTTGTGACCCAGACTTAACCCCATACTTGTTTGCTTAGTGGGCGATGCTGCTAACCTAGCTTTTTCGTTGTTGGAGGCATCTTCTTTAAAGTATGAATGGCTTTTGTCGAGTCCTCACTTGTATAATCAGTGTTGTGTTCTCCAGGTCTATTTGTCGCTGTGCCCGCTGGAATGAGAGCCAGTGTCGGAGATCCTTTCGCTGCTTCTGTTTCGCTGTGATCCAGAGTCGTAAATCATCCTCTTGGTCCTGTTGATCGCTTCTTGCTGTCGGTGAGTTCTTACATCTGACTTTGAACATCTTGCATCTTGTGTATTCGTTTTGGTGGCACCTTCTGCACCTTGAACTTTCAGAGTTTTCTTGCCTCTTTTTTGTTCTTGTTCTGGTATTGGTGGTGACAAACATGTCGTGAAGGTTATCTTGTCTGTTTGACTGTTGCAGGTAATGCTGTGATTCAAGGCTGCCTCCGCCTGGATGCTGAAGAATGGGGACGTCACACTGGCCGATTTTGTGGTTGGTTTCACAAACCGGAAGTTCATGCTGTGCTGTTTCTGCTGAAGTATGCTGTTGAGCCTGTGCTACGGTTGAAGGTGAGTAAGGTTCTTCCGAAGTGAGAAGCTCTTCTATTTCTTGAATTACTTTTGCTTCGTCCATCGTGTGGTTGCTTCTGTCGGTGATTTCTTCTGTAATTTCTTCTCGTTCTGACTCTGTTAAGTACAAGTCCAGTACATGTGCATAATAGGACTTCTTCCAATCCGCTGCTTCACCCTTTTCTTGATGACTTCCTTCATTCAAATGCTTTTCTGGGTCTTCTGACTTGTGCTTTTCACGTACAAATTGCTCTCTGCTGGACTCTTTCTTTTGTTTCAAAATTTGCATTTCCAGTGAGTTTCTTCCTGCAGCGCATAGTCCTCTCCTCCCTTCTTTTTGAAACAGTTTGGGCGCATGTATTATTTTGTAGAGAGTAAAACCTTGATGTTTCTGTTGCAGTGTCCGTATTTCTTGGGTGATAATTCGTTCGAGAAAACTTCTTGATACGCAGTTCGATGTGGAGCCAGGTTTTCGGTAAGTTCTTGTGATTTTTCCTTTGATAGTTAAGTGTGTCGACTTCCTCTTTCTGCTGGTGCGTACAATCTGCATCCGGGGGGACATTTTCACCGATGATTGATTGGGCCCTTGTCTGGGTTTCGATGTTGGACTGGGAAACTATTCAATGTTCTTGTTGCAACAGGTTTGGGTTTCTTGCACTGCGGCGCTGACGGAGCTCGTCGCCTGCGGAAGACTAGGAGTACTACTGGATGGAGATCTACATAAATTTTGTGAGCATGAGCAAGCAATACATTCTGTGAAGGCCTGAGACTGGGACATTTGCCAAACTACTTTCGGTGCTTCCTGTCTGTGTGCCGCTCTATTTATCTACCTGCCTTGACTTTTCACCAAAGTACGTAAGTTGCGATTTGAATGTATGAACGTGAGACGTGTAAGACAAGTTTGACTTATTCATTTAATTTTGTTGCAGAGTTGTTATGAGGTCGACGTTGTTTTGCCAGAATGTTCAACAAACTTTTACCCTGGATGAAGATTTTATCATGGGTCAACCTATTGGAAGACAAGCTGCAGTGGATATTGGGTAAGAACAACATGAAGTTATTTGCTTGGCTTTGAATGTTTCTGTGTGTGTGCTTTCAGCGATGAAGCTGACTTGGAATTTGTTTTTGATGCTGTGGAGTAATCATCTCTACGCAATTTGTTCAGCAACTGTGACAGTACTAACGTGGGCATTATTAACGTGGAATCTGTTGTTATTTGCAGTGTAATGACAAAACCCTGGAAACGTTTTGTTTACGTTGGACTGGAACTCTTTTGTGGACCCGGAACTATTCTTCAGTCTGGCTGGCAAATGGAAAAGTGAATTTCTCTTTGGACAGATTGAATGAACGACTGGCCCATTATTTAGAGCTTCTAGAACTGATGTGGACACATTTCGAATGGTCAATCTTCACCTGAAGTAGAACTGATGAGGTAAGCTGTTGCGTCTTTAGCTTCTGCTTAAGTGCACCCTTTTGGATTGGGGGCTGCAAGGCCTCTCTGAACGCCTGCTTTTATGCACCTTAAGTTTGTGCCTTTCGTATGCACAACAGTAAATTTATAATAACTGAACTAGAATAATATTTTTTAAAAATTATTTTACTATAGTATGCCCTTTGGATTTTTAAAAATTTTGAACCACTGCATGGCTGCGTGATCTGATTTTATTGGGAAGGGCAGTCTTGCTTGGCAATGATTGAAAGCTTTAACTGATTCTACCAAAGCTTATAATTCCGTATGAGTCACTCAATAATTGTTTTGTGCCGGTGTTAATGTTTGTGCTAGTGTGAATGTTTTTGACCGCTATGGGTGACTTACTAGGCCTGGTTGCTTTAATTTTTAAGTATTTCATCGTTGTCTGACAAACCTTTTATTGTAATTGCAGGGGTACTGAACGTGCATTCTGTTTGATGAGTGGATGATTTCCTATATCCACCCTAAATCTCATCCATGGATATCGACCAAATGTGAAGACATCGTGATGTTTGCGAATGAGCTTTTCTACCTCCTCCGTCTGTTCTGGTGGCAAAGCAGTAGCTTTGATCTTGGCATCCAAGTCTACAGGTAATCGCATTTTGTATTGGAATTAGTGGTTTGTATTGCAATTCAACTTTTGCACCGTGTAAGTTTTGGGTCTCATATTCAGTTAAATTTAGGTGTTTGTCCCATTGGCTATTGGATTGCTCTGCACCGACATTTTTAAATTTTATTACAAGATTCTTATCTACTCTCTTCCCTTCTGTTTTACTTCTCTTCGTAATCTTGGTTTGCAACAAGGCCATCACACTGTGGGGGTGGAGTGGTAGGACATGTGCTATTACTGTATACTTGAGAATTTGGACACAATGGTCCGCAAGGTTTAATGGTGATACATGCCTGTCACACACGGTACGACGCCTATCTGTGTGACTCATCTTTCAGATAATTGACTTTAAATGTTTAAATGTCAGCAAAACAACATGCATCTTGCCTTCTGCTCTTTCGGGTGGTTGGATTCCCATTGTTTGTTCACTTTCATGTGCGTTGCCCGCACCCATTTCACAATCTTTTTTTTACCATGGTTTTGTTCTTTGTTTCTAGACCGTCAAGCTGGCGATGACCGGTCTGGCTGTCAAGCTGGCGATGATCAGCCCCCTCCGCTCTTGCCTGAGACGTTACTGTGAGGCACTTCGTTTCCAGAGGTGAAGCAGAAGTGGACAGTTTCCTTTCCAGCTCCGGACGGCGACTATACCCACTAATCGTCATGGCAAGCAACGCGTCGGACTATTCCGACTCATCAACCACCAGGTCAGTTTCCAACTTCGTGGAAACCTGCCTCTGTACAAAAGGTTCCAGCAAGATCTTTAATGAGCATGCATTGGGTAGGACAAATTTCCACTTGTGAAATTTCCGTTATATACTGAGTTTACTATTTCGCATTAGACTTGAATGTCATTTTCAAGGTCCAGCATTTAAGTTTTGGTGTTGACTACATCTCCAAATGTGTCAATAAAATCACAATTAAATAAATTTTCTGTTACGTGAGCTTTGTCAATTGGAAGCTTATACCAATCAGTTAGTCCGGTTTTCAGACTGAATGTCCATCCACTCCAGTCCACACAGTAATGTCTTGTATGAAGTTACACATAAAGACGTAATTTAAAACTGGCAATTTTGAGTCCTTTAGGAACAGTAATGGTGGCTCTCGTGTCAATGGTAGCTTCTCTGGCTTAACTTGCCACAATGCAATTTACTAAAAGGCCTTCCTTACAGGGTAATCAAGCTGCACACTTTAACTTACTAGTTGGGTCGACACTGTCCTTATTGATGTGGACTGGTGTTTGCAAGCTTAAGTATTAATCGATGGCGACTTGTAAATTTTCAATTTTTTATGGGTTTATTTTACGATGTTACTGCATTTTTTGAGAAGACTATTTTTATCGAGTCTGTAGAAATTCTTACCGGAATATTTACTTGGTTGTCAATTGAGTGACAACCTGCCTATCTAAGTTTATATTGTTGCTGCTCTTTGCCCTGTTTATAACATGACATGGCTGCTTGATAAAAATCTGGCGGTACTCCTGCAGACCTTTCACATTGGCCTGGGGGTTCGTTGTTGTTAAATTGCCCTCTGGTGTAGCTACTTCTACCTCTACCCCTGCCTTTACTCGTTTTTATACTTGTTGCAGGTGCTGACTCCTGGTCTGCATAGTTGACATTAGTTTGACTGTCGGAGCCTTCAACTTCTACCTTCCAAACCTTTTTGCTGTGTGTCTCGGAGGTCAAAGACAGCGCTCTATTAACGTGGGTAAGTGCATCTTCCACTGAGTTGACTGATGCATAGCAAATGCGCTCTGCCATTTTCCTATCTGTTAGCCCCTTGATGAAAGCCTTAACTCCGGCTTGGTCCCTATCAATTTGATTGCTGTTTGGCATGTAATCAACCACAGCTTCCTTAACTTTCTGAGCGTAAGCTCTCAGAGTCTGTCCCTCTTCTTGCTTAAGTGACTCGTAAGCTCGAGTCCTCTCCCATAACTCTCTCCGGACATGGAAAGTGTCCTCCAACTGTGCATCCAAATTGACAAATGTCAATGGCCTATTCTGAGTAGTTAATGTTCTAATGACCTTGGTAGCCTCCCCTTCCAATGCCTGCAGTAAGAAAATCCCTCTATCCTGTTCTGACCAGTTTTTGTGTTCTGCGACACTCAGAAACTGTGCCCTGTAAACATCGTAGCCTGTGCTACCATTGAATGGCGGTGCATCGCCTGAGTTGGGAGCGAATGTATCTGCTTGGGGTTCTGGAATGCTCTGTACTGGCGGGGGCCTGTTAAGAATTTCGCGCATGAAACGGTAGAAATGCCACGGCTGGAAGTTTTGTTGCTGCTCACGCCTATCTTCGCGGCGGTACGGGTGTGCGCGGTGGCGACGGCGCGGCGCCCTGTGGTACTCATCGTCTTCGCCATGATCACCCGGGATTGCCGTCCCGATCCATCTCGTTGTCGCGCCCCTGCGCGCCGGCTTGCACGCCGTGGTCCCTCACGCGTCGTTGCCCTTGCTGCGCTTGGCGTTCGGGGCCTCCTACGTGTTCGTTGAAAGCATTGCGTCTCAACGGCCTGATTACGGGACGAGGGCGGTAAACTGCCTCTCCAAATCCCGCTGCTTCGCGTCCACGGCCTCGGCCCCGGGCCGCAGGTACGCCCTGTTCGTCGCCCTGTTCGTCCCCACCTTCTACTTGCTCGACGTCACGGGCTGGTTGGCCGTGATTGTTCCCTTCGCACGCGTTTCGCACGTAGCCTGCCGCTGCGCCTACTTGCAGGCCTCGGCCCCTGTCCCCTCGGCCACGTTCTGGGCCGGCGCGATCCGCCTCAGCTTCGTCGTTGTCGATCCCATAACGCCTAATCGGCCTAACTACGCGACGGGGGCGGACTGCTTCCCGTGCAACCCCAGCGGCGGCACGCACTTGGCGTGCACGGCCACGCGCACGGCCTCGGCCGCGTTCTCGGACTCGCGGTGCGGCTGCGTCCGGGTCGACGCCCCGGTATCATGTTGTTTTGTGGTGTGGCAGAAACTGTGTAGATTGAAGCGCGGTGTCGCAGGCCCTTTGTGCCAATTGCTGTGTGTTTCTTTGTAGTTAGATATACACTCGCGTTCGTTTGTCGTGGAGGACAGTTAGCTAATAATCGCTGTTTGTTGTGTTGCAGGTTCCCGTCGCGCTTTGCTTCGTGTGGAATTTCGCGTGGTGTTCAGATGTCAAATGGGAATGGGACACAGTACACTTGGTTTTAATAAAGTTTTGACTTGATTTCAAGCCTCTAATTTCTAAATTAAGACCAGCTCACTCACTCCTTAAAACTAGCACAGCTCGATGCCAGCTGGTCACCTTGACACAGTGGCAGAGTAGGCCTTTAACTAGCCTCACCACAGCACGAATTCACTCAGCAGGCGTGTGCAGGTGATCATCAATGCGCGGAGAGGACCGAATGTACAGCTTTACAGATCATGCAGCAATTCACGCAGCAAATGAATGCAGGTGATCATGCGTTATGGGTAGTAGGCTGTTGATTCCTTATCATTCAAGCACTTGTGCGTAACAATTTCACACAGCAGACTGCAGGTGATCCTCGTTAAACACTCGTGTTGATTGATTATGTTTTATAGGTGATCAGGTGAATTCACGCAGCAGACTGCAGGTGATCATCACTTGTTCACGTAATAAACTGTCTTATAATTAACTGTAGTACTCGCGTAGGCGATTTCACACAGCAGACTGCAGGTGATCCTCACGCCACTTGTGTACCTACAGGCTGGCCCGTTCCATAAGTGAGTAATTTCACTCAGGTAGCAGGTGTCTTAAATTATTGCTATCACTCCCTTGTACTCCTGTTGGACACACTCAAACCTTGCGGCGAGTTTCCAACACTCTTTCTCACTCAGAGTCACACTCGGAACCTAACCTCAAAAGTCTGGTTGGGACCTAACCTCAAAAGCCAAGTCCGATTTCAATCACACTCGCAAGTATCCACTTTCGTTAGTCTGAGTTAGCAGCTTTTTCAATCACAATTCACACACTAGTATAGGTTATGGTGGGCCTCTACTAGTTTCAAGTTCACACACTAACACTCACAGACTCCAAAACTGCTAAGTTCAAACTCTCGCGCTATTCAGTCACTCTCCTCCCCCCTAACAGGGAAGGCATAGACCGACCTTAACCTCAAAGCCCGATTAACCGCTGTCACCAGTGTTATAGTGTAGCAGTGTAAGGGACTTGGAGGGAAAAGGGAAGTCAGGGGTCTCGTCGAGACGGAAGGCTCTGTATTATCAGTAGGTGACCGTGTACAGAATGGTAGCGGACGTCTGGCGACGCGCTCTTATATTACAGATGCAGAAGAACACAAGGAAGAACAGTAGCGGAGAGTGGGGGTGCATGGCCAATGGTATTGAGCGGCCAGGGTATTAAGGGGAAGAACAAAAGGAAGAAAGGGTTGGAGGTCCTGGCCAGGATCACTAGGGCAGTGGTTGAAAACAAGGGAATGACTGCAAGTAAGCCGTGCGTAGGTTAGGTTCTCCATTGTTTCATATCATAACAATGTACATTTTCCGATGGAATGGCATCATGTTTTAACCTATTTCTAGTCTGATTAGTGAAGCTGAAGTCATCAAAATGAGCATCACATACTAAATATTTTGAGTGTACTGTAGAAGGATCCATTAAAAGAAATTCGACTCGTCCACTCCTGACAGTCCACATCTTGAAGCTGAAAACAATAAAAAATAGTTTCATGATTTATTTCTTCAACCACAAAACAGTCGACATTTCCCATACTGACCGTTTCAGGTTCCTTTCCTGTATTACTTTTCCTCCATAACGATAAGTAAATAAATTTGGGAAATGAAACAGCGTATGGTCATCATTTGTATTAGTACAACTTTTCATACAGCATTGAATCTTTTTTTTCTTTGCTTCACTTGCACCGCGATTTGAATAGTAACTGTGATCATGCAAAATGCGTTTGGGACATGCAGTAGATAAACTGCTGCTGGATGTCTAGACAAAAAGTTTCCATTAATTACAATTCACAGAATGTGTCCAAAAAGTTTGAATTATTTACTTACATTCATATTTTCATCTGTAACTGTTATATCAGCATCGTCAGCATGTCCTTCAGATGGTGTGCTCAACAATATTTCTACATCATTACTCTCTTCACTTTCCACTGTCTTAATTTCCAATTTATCAACATTTGTTTCAGATGGTGTTCTCAACAATACTTCTCCATCACTCCTGTCTTCATTTGACTTACCCTGTCAATTGATAAAGAATGTCATTTCACAAAATCTGTTCTGTATTTACCTTTAAAGTTAGAACAGTAGACAAAGGGTACGAACACATTCTGGAAAAATAGAGGGATTTACACCCCTCTTCAAACGTTTCTTATTCTGGCTAGTAAAATCTTTGTCACTAAAATGATCGGAACAAATGTAATATTTCTTGTGTAATAATTCAACACTCTGTGATGCTACTTCTGCATTGCCACACCTTTCAATCCATATTTTTAATCTGTCAGCAAATTATTACATTTTATGAAAATTAAATAGATTGTTCAGTATATGTTAACACAAATACATTATTTTACTCATATCTATTACCTGTTAATATTCTCCTTGCACTCTCGTTGAACCCTATTAATTGATGTTGTAGAACACGGAAATGTAAAAAGAGAATGACTACCTTCATCGTTAAGACATCCTTCAACGCAGCACACATTCTTTGGTCTCCTTTTTCTTTCAACAGTTTTGATGGCATACGAGTGCTCATCATGAACTCTACTCGCCTTACTGAGACTCATCTTCCTTTTCTAATGTCTTAAATTCCAATGTTTTTCATTTAATAGACACAACATAACACAGCACAGGTTAAATTTGACGCCATTACGAGATTCCCTTGTCCAACATTCATTTCCGGTCGTTTCGGTGCCATTTCAAAGAAGGCGCAGGTTTCCCCGCGTACTACCAACTACCATCGTTTCCATCAACTATTCGCACGTCTCAAGTTTAAAAAATACATTCGTAATTGACATTCCCATTCGCTTAAAATGACTTAATGCTCAACTTCGTATTTCGAAACAGTATTCCAATCACCCGTCCTTTTTTTAATTTGTTTTGTTTTTTAATTTTTTGCGTTGGCTGACCTGCACGACGGACCAACTGCTGCCACAACAGGAACGCATACACTTAACCACTCTTATGACCGTAATACTGAATCAATTTCCGTATTTTCTTCATGATGTCATATCTTTTTATTATTTTCTCAAATACACACCTCTTACACAACCTCCAAATTTTCACCTCGTAGCATTTGAAATTCTCGAAAATCCACTTCCAAATGATGCCTACCCTTCAAAACCAATGCAGAAGGACCCCAGGGAGCGTTAACAGATGGCCGATATCTGCTGCAGGACAAGTTAGGCAAATTGGGCCTCAGCCAACAATTTTAAATACTATCTTTGGAATGATCCCGCGTACTACCCCGTATAAGAAAACCAAACGAGTATCATCTGCTTTCATTAACGTTCGTTGAATGAGATTTTTTTTAAAAAAATTTTCCTTGACTATAGTTTTGTTGTATTTTCTTTGGTTGTTAATCGTCAATTTAAATTATTTCACCTTCTCTCTTGGTTTGGTTTGTTTCAATTCTATTGAGACTCTGGAAAAATTTCTTAATTTTTTTTTATTCCTTTTTGATCAATTTTTGCTGACTAGTCTAAGGAATAAAACCAATTTCGATACTGTCTTTCTTATTCGTTTGAAGACATGGACACATTGGGTGTAGCGTGCACGCTGCTTGGAGTGTAAGTTGTTTCTTAACGTACACTTGTAGGATTTATTATTGCACTTTGCACTTGTAGTCTTTTTCCGTTTCAGAGACGATTTAATTTGTTTTGTTAATTATTGTTCGACTGGTGCCCTAGAAACAATATGTGTTTTTTTTAGCAAAAATCGCAAGCAGAATACTGAAGACGAAGTCTGACAAAAAATTGGTGAAAATGTAATTTGTTTGCCGTCTAAAACCGAACATTTTGCCGTATCGCTTTTGAAAATCCGATAAAAACTGTAATTGTTATGACAATTTTGGTGCTTAAAACGGGTTAAAAACCATTTTTGCTTTTGAGCCGGTATTCAAAATCGTCTCAGGACAAAACGCAAAAAATAAGGGTTATTTTTTTTTTTCGGTCTAGAATCGATTTTTGAGCGGAATTGGACAATCGGAAAACCTTCGATTTTTTGTTGGGCCACCCTAGTTTCCTGACTGCACTGTGGGAAAAAATCACAGTGAATCCTGTAGTGATTAGTACAGCTGTCACTGTAGTTCAGAGTACAGGGTTTACTGTACTTTTTTAACAGGATCTACTGTACTTTGTACGGGATTTACTGTACCATAGGGGTGGAGTACGGAATATCCTGTACCAGGTACAGTAGATACTGTAGCCAGGCACGGTAAATCCTGCGTTCTGAACTACAGTAAATCCCGGCAAAAAAATTAACGGGATTCACTGTGGTTTTTTCGCACAGTGTGTCCCACTGCTCGACTTTTCAACTTCTGGGACTGCTCTTGTGATCGCCGGAGGAAGGCTGAGGAGTCTTCTCTTTTCCTGGTTCACGAGTATTCTGCTCCAGTGTGAGGTAAGCCTCTTTTAAACGTGAGGGAAATTTCTCTTTTCTGGTTGGTAATCTGGCAGGTGTCGGTTGCCTGGGGAAGGCCTGTGTTGTCGCCAAGTGTTAGGTTGAGTGCTTTCTCAGTACTCGCCTGATCCTGTGCCTTTGCCTTTGACCCGTTGCCTTTTCTGTGTCCTTGATCCTTTGCCTTTGCCTTGACCTAAAGTCCCTCTTTTTTAAAAAAAAAATTTAAACTTTCTGTCTTCTTTTCCCCTCTTTCTTTTTGTCTCTGTGTGTCTCCTTTTTCTGCGTCTGGTTTTGGATAGGGGTGTCCGCAATCGGGCCAAGGACCAGGAGTCAGGGTGGCAATGTTTGGTGGGGAAGATTGGGCGCGTCCTGATGGTGACGATGGATGCTATGGGCGTTCCTGATGGGGAACCCAAGTCCTGTTCGGTGAGGTTTTTCTTCACTCATTTCTTGGTTTTTGTGGCTGGTTCGCCCGCGGGTTTGACAGTATAAATTTTCAGATGTGTCTGCCGTGTGTCAAGTGGCAAGTGGAAAACCAAGAGTCGTTCTGGGGGGGTCAGATTTGTTTGGAACCCCAGATCCCTGTCGCGTTCCACCGGTACGCTGAAGTGGCGCGAAGGTA